GGGGCGGGGGAGGGGGGGGCTCGCCCTCCCGCCCCGTACGGCCCACGCGGGAGCATCCCCACGGCGGGCGGCACCGCGCGCTCTCCCCACAGAGTGGCGCGACGCTGGCGGGGCTGCCCGGGAGCCCATCCCCGGGGGTACGGGGCCGCCCCCACCCGCGGCAGGTAGAGAGGGCCGCGGGCCCCGAGCAGCGAGCCCTGCCCCAGCCACCCGCCACCGGGCTCGCTCCCGGTTTCATCCCGGGTGCCCCGCGAGGGCCGGCTGTGCGGGGGGCTGTGCGGGGGGCTGCGCCTCCCCGTGCGCTGTGCGGTCCAGGGTTGCTGAAAGGCTTCCACCGGCAGTCCCTGGAGCTGGGGTGTGCGGTCAGCCTCCCTCTGTTACTTGCCAAGGCCCAGCTCTTCAGTTCACATTCATCTCCCTTCTTCCTATGGGAGTGATTTTTTTTAATTTTTTTTTTTTTTATAATGGGGGGCGGATAGTCATTAGGTTTGCGGTCTTGCTAGGAAACAAATGTACCACGCTGTAACTACAATTTATTCTCATGTCTAGACCTGATGGAGAATGTGATACACAAACGGGATTTATCAGCTTCAGGAGTATATGCTGAAGAAGGCTCTTAGGGACTGTGGAAACTTTCGGGTCTTCCCTGGACTGACATCCACGACAACCTTGAAATGGGGCTGGGGAACCGGAAAAGAGTCAGTCGCTTACAACTGTAACAGGCTCGCTAGTGGCAAAACAGGCAGCTGGTCATAAAATGTCGTGGAGGAAAAGGAAATGCTCCAAAAATTCTGATTATTCACTCATTGTTGCACCCATGAAAATGGGCCACTTTCTGTGTCAGTATGTCAGCAGGCAGATAGGCGTGAAAAGCCGCCGGGGAGATCTGTGCTCCTTGCTGTGTTAGGAGACACTCTTCCCCCTCTCTGGGAGACGCAACTAAATTTTTTCCAAATTTGATTAATTCCCTGGGATTTCACAGGGGCCATGTGCTGCTTCACAAGCTCTTGCTGATCTTCCCCTTTCTAACTCTCCCCTACCTCCAGTGGGGAAATACTGCCTGGTGCTCTACCTAGGCATAATTTACAGAGGAGCCAACTGGTAAGCTCCTTTTGCAGACTTTACCCCAACTTCTATCACCTGAGGAACAAAGCTCACAAACTGTCCTAAACAGTACCCAGAGTGACTAGGTACAAGCTGTCTGCTCCTGCCTTTCTCTCTGCAGTTGGTGGGGATGAGCACATGGCTGCTCCTTCCTTACTAGGACCCTGGGGGAACTACTGTGCAAGACCATCCCAAATTTTTGAAACTGCAGGCTGTCATCAGCACTGAATTTCTCTCAGATTTCTTATGCCAAGAACACTGTAAAGACGATCTGGTTTTGTGCATCACTGCCATAGCATTTTGGATCGCTGTTTGGAAGCTGTGTACCCATGCCAATACTTACTCATCTTTATTAATTTGCAGATTAGATTCCTGAAAGATTTTCTGGTGATAAGTTTCTCGGTATAGGAACTGAAGACTGTGAATTACAGGCTTGCTTTTTTAGTTGAGTAAGTACTTGGAAAATATTCTTGCCTATAGTACCCTTGTCGTCAGAAATCCTCAGACAGTGGTTTGGAAACCAGTGGTCTAGGCTAGTACAATTAAAAAAACCCAAACATGGCACTGCAGAAGGAGGAACCACAAGGTGGCAATCTCTCTCCGTACTTCTACTGGCAAAATGAACCTCTGGCAAAAAAAATCTCGGACAGTGACTGTGTAAAGCTGCAGAGACGATTGGTCACATCTCGTATCTTCCAGAGTCACAGCAACATTCGTTTCGATGCCGGATTTTCTCCTCTGAATGCTTTTCCCTTTAGGATGAAACTCTCAGTCTTGAAGAGGTGGCACTGGAGGCTGTTCTTTGCTGGCTTTTCCATCCTTTGCCCCAAAATGGGCACCAGATGTTGCTTGTTAGATTGCTAACTACCAGTGCTGCTTGCATGCATGCTGGCAGAGCTACTGTGTGCTTGGAGAGGAAGTTTCCTCCTGCACTGGAGGCACTATCTGGTTCAGAGTATTGCTAACCTCATGTTATATTAATGTACAATGTAACAGTTGCATCAGGATCCTGCTTCATGCACTGAGATGCCTCAATGGGAGCAAAATAACCTGGATGTTAGGACTAGACAGTGACATGTAGGTTGAGTGTGGCATATGGTCTCGAGGGGACTGCAAAGCCTTAGCGACAATAGCTCCACTCCCCAAAAGATGTGGCCGCAGGGTGTAAAAACGCAGAAGAGAAGTAATGCTTAGTTTGGGGTGGAGCTGCCCTGTTCCTCCAATATCAAACACCATCTGTTGCGATGAGCTCCATCTCGATCAGGACATAGTTGTGTTCTTGCCAGATGTTAGCTTACATGTGCTACATGTAAAAGTAAACTGGTGCGAAAGCTGTGGTCTGATGTGCTTTCAGTAGGATTTGCCCTGCATAAGTGACGACGTGCTAGCCAACCTCTTGCTGAGAGGATGCACTCCAGAAGTTGCAGGTGTGTGGCTGGAGCGTGTTCAATGAGTCAGGATAGGAAATATCTTCCAAAGCTCCAAATAAGACAAAACAAACTGAGCTTTAGCACATGCTCAATTGATTGAGTCTTTGGCAAAGTATGACATGAATTTGCAAGGCTCTCACTGAGGCCTGTCCCGGCTGTATCCTGCTTGGCGAGTCCTTCAGCAAGCACAGCATAGCTGTCCTTGTTTTCTTCTTACGCTGAAGCCTCCTTCTTTTACCTGTTCTTCCCTTATGAGATTGCTCTTTGGTTAGGAATAATAATCTGCTTCCTGCCCACCAGGACTGCTCAGGTTCTGCTTTATACCTTGTCTGCCACCACTGAGCTCCTTCTGCAGTTTCTGTGTCGCAGCCTGCAAATTCCACGACCCCTGCCAGTGGTGACATCTCTGATCACGGCTGTCCTCTTCCAGCTCTGACTGTGCAGGTCCAGGCAGGACCTGGAGGAGGAGGGAAGTGTGGACATGGGGAGTTTTGTAAAGACCCCTCACATCACCTTGACTTAAGGTCTGAAGTCAGAGGCTGTGGATTGCAATTCTCTTCCTTCCTGGCTGATGGGAGTGCAGGGGGTCTGCTCTCTGCTGGTCCTCTAGAAAAGGGCCAGGAGCCACCAGGGGACTGCTAGTGGGGATAGAAATGTTAGCAATCCAAATCATGATGGGAAACAGGAGGAGTAAAGAAAATCTGGATTTTTTTTTTTTTCCCCAGAAAGAAAGAAATCTAGCAGGCACAAGGCTGGCTTCTCCTGGAACATGTGTGCAACGTGATTGTCACTAATGCTCTGTAGCCAGCTGAGAGAAGATACTTTCCCCAAGTAAGTGAAATAAGCACTGAGATGTGGGATATATGATAACTTCTGAGGCAGAAGGAATAAGACCCCAGGCAAAGGAGCTCCAAACAGTGCACTGTGTCTTTTTTTCCCCCCCCCCCCCCCCCTTTGCGTCCGGG